ATAATATTAGCAATAAAGAAATCCTTTACCGTTTTGATCTGTAAACCCCGGCCCCATTTTCATCTACAGAAAACACTGGTCCCTGTAGAAGGCTGTTTGTGGTGCGCTTTTCCAATTTCACTTCAAAGTCTCTGGAACTTTGTTCGCATTTCCAAGACTCGAATCGCTGTTGAAGGCGTAGCGAGGAGTGAGCCGCCTCATTTGCAAACAGCGAATGAACAGGAATTCAGACGTCATGTTCATAATGGTACTTCAATTTCATTAATTTACTGAAACAGAAATCGCAACTACTGTGAATTATCAACCTTTTATCTTTTCAAAAATCAAGTTTAACTTTTTTACATCTTTACGCAATTCTTTAGAGCTGATGTATTAAATAATTTACTTTTTTTATCTGTACAACATGAATATACCGTGCGACCTTTGACATAAAGTTCGTAAGTTTTCAGTTGCCTTCTCAGGTAACCTTCTCGGCTGTCTTCGTGCTCGGCGTTGTCCATGGGATGTCATCAGTACCCCTAGTATTGTGTTTTTGCCTTTCGGCAGAATAAGTTACCAAATCTTCCTGGAATATCCTCGCCTATTTGACACTTTATGGAATTCAATGATTTGTTGCAAATTATTACGTGATTTCAAATTACAGAATTACTTTAATAAAAATCGCAATTACAACTTAATACGATTATCATCTTTGAACTCTTACCCTGCAAAATGTTATTCTGTAAAAGAAAACTAATCATCATTTATCAGCCTCAATACTGTTTACAAACACCACAGACTGTACTGAAACAAACATTCAATAAAAATAATAATAATTATTATTATTAATATTATTTGAGTATAGGCCGTTATTGACCACGCTAGCCATTTAACGTGAGTAATTATTCCAGGATTAGTATTTCAGCTGTATTGTTCAATACACGGTTGTTATGTCTTGAAGTGTGAATTATGAGATGATAAGATGATGATGAGGGGTGAAGGGACAATCACAAATACGACCATATCTACACAGGACTCGAACCTGCAGCCTCCTCGGCGTAGATGACGGCTGCCGCAACCACGGGTTGTTGTTGTTGTTATTATTATTATTATTATTATTAATATACACACATTTTAATAAATGTGGATTGATTGAAAAATGGCGGGGTGAGAGACGAGACACGCGGCCATCAGCGGCCCACACACGCGGCGCTGCGCCCCGCCCCCACGTGCCAGCGGCGTTCCTGGGCTGCCTGTGCGCGGTGGCGGCGCAGCTGCTGCCCTCTGACGCAGGCGACAGGCGGGAGGAATTACTCTCGCAATTATTTGATATTAATTTCCGAAATTGTCTCTGGAACGATGAATTAGAAGAGATACATTTAAAATACATTTAAGAAAGTTAATTTGTAATTAGTGCGTGTTGCGTGTAATGTAGTATGGATATTACACTAAATGCAACACTTATTTAAGGAAACATTTTTATCTTAATAAAGGAATAAAGGGTATTTTGAAGAAGGAATTATATCCATAATTATTTGCTGCGGAGTTCAAGATGAATTTAATTCTGAAACTGAGGCTCTTGTGTTTTTTCAGTTTCAGTCATTTCATGTTATAGTGCTAATAATGATTTACGACTTAATGTTCGTCTAAAGCGTTCGAAGAGTTTTGACTTGTTTTTAATTTAATATTCTCAAATATTAAATTAACTTGATATTTTTTAAAGCGCAGCGTCACCGTTGTATGGGCAATACATGCAATTAGTTACTGATATCTCACAAACAACCATTTTCACAGATAGCCATTTTACAAAAACACTTGTATTGTTTCAAAAGCTTACGTATGTTTGTTATATACACGTATGTACTAAATATTCAACGTAAAAAAGGTATACCTATTGTGTGTTTGTTCAATATACCGTTTTAATGAATTTGAACGTAATGTAAAGAGTACAGTCTTACAACTTATGTCACAAAAACAAGAATGCTAAGGGGTTAAGGCAGGTATTGCAAAGTTATCAGTTATTTGCTGTGTAAATTGACAGAGGATGAAACTAATTTAAAACTACTCACCACGTCTCCCATCACAAACAACAGGAAAATCAACACTACTATCATCACTATCAACATTGCCGCCAGCATAACCATCACTAACACCATCGCTATTTAGCTCAGCACCAACACCACCAATTACACCACTTGCAGCCAATCAGCACCAGTAGATCCATCTTCAGCAGGACAAACAGATGCACTAATTGCACCAACACAAGACGTACTCGCGCAAATCTCAACAGCACCAGTAGCTAGAGCACCATTAGCATCATTATTATTAGCCACAGCACTAGTACTATTAGTACATGCACGAGAGATGCTGGCACCGTCGTCATAAACACCAGCAGAACTATCGTGAATTATACCGTCACTTACAGGACACCAGCATCATCATTACCAATAGCATCAGCGTTAGTACCGCGAACATTGGTAGCACAAGAATCATTAACACAACCACCATCATTTATCTGCATTCAACAGTAACCGGAAGACGGAGTACCCTAACAAGCAGGCCATGCACCGCGCGCGATATTTGTTCCTCTTCCTTGTCCTATCCTCGTACCTTACTTACACATTTACATGCACTGCACTACCACACGTGTCGGGGGACCAGGCGGGAGTTTAGAGCTGGTCCTAGTTGGGGCTATGCCCCACTGTTGGGAGATATCTAGTTAGGGAAACCCCGCTTGCCAACATGTAGGAGGGTGCCGAATCTCTCTATTCAGGAAGTGGAGATGACCCCACCTCCCGCGATGAAACATCTCGCCATAATGACAACCTAATTAGCCGTTGTCACCCCTTAGTCGTTGTGATCTTAACCATCGCGTCCGGAAACTCTATTCCACCATTCAATCAAAAACCACCACCACCGCCACGAATACTACCACCAACTCCAGCACCAACCCTATCAAAAACATAAGCAAGTAAACCACCACCACCGTCACCATCACTTCTCCCAAACATTCCACCCTTCCGCCGGCCTCCTCGCAAGCACCGCGGCCGCCCCAGGAAGCTCGGTCGGCGGCGCCCGGGGCGAGCGGGCGCCGTGGCTCACGCGTGGGCGTGCGGCGGGCGCGGGCGGTCCGCCCACCGCGGGGCCACACCCGCACCCTCCCCTCCCGTCCCCTCCCCCGCGCCCCTGGCGGTAATTTGCCGAGCTGATTGTTGCGGGCGCCGCCCTTATCTTGCCATCGGCGGAGCGAGCCTGGCGAGCGCGGCCGCGGAGGGTGATTACAGGCTGCTCGCTTATCAGCTCGCGCATAAATCAAACACCCGCGCTGCAGCCGACTGGCGGTGTGTAGGTGTCGTCCCCCCTGCCCACCAGTCCGCCCGCCCGCTGCCAGCGCGCCGCACAGTGAGGCGAAAGCACCTCATCGGAAGAAGGGCACCAACTGATGTCTCTGCAGCGCCTCCCACCGGGAGGTCCTAGGTTCTCTTAGGTACTGGCGGTGGCAGAATTTTTACACTGGCTAAATAGCTTGGTCGAATGAATTTAGCCCGTGTTTGGAGGAGAATTCTAGCGGCTGGCTGCTCTGATCGGTAGTTTTCAGAACCGATGAATACCAGGCGAAGGCCGGAGCAGGCCATGAACCTAACGAAGGCCACGGACAGCGCGCGATATTTCCTTCCCATTCCTTGCCTTATCCTCATTCATTGCTTACCCACACACTTGCACCTCACACATATCAGGAGAGTAGTCTGGATCTTAAAGCTTGTCCCGTCCGGGACCGTGCTTCGCTGGTGCGAGTTACCAGGTTGGAGAAAATTCTCCTAACCAGCAGTAAATCGGCGCCGGATCTCACCATCCAGCGGGGGAAGATCACCGCCACATCCCGAGGAAAAACCTGCTCTAAACTTAATGGCCTAATTACCTTAGCATTTGACACGCCCGGAATCACCCATCAATCAATATCGAAATGACCTCACGGTGCATGCTGGGAGGCCACGTTCGGGTAAACCAGGAATCGTCAGACAATTTCATTCATCTGGATAAGTCTTTTTTGAAGTGAGGCATGAGAGAGGAAGAATCGAGAACTTCTTTAGATGGGAGGGACATTGTTGCGATCGTATTATAAAACTTAATGTGATTACTTCTTCACAGTGAATTCAGTGGAAAAATTAGAAACAGAAACCCAAGACTTGTTGCCGACATATTGTCAATAACCGCGTGCGTTCGTCGCTTCTGAATATTGTAAATTGTCATCCCGTGTACTGTGGTGGAGGGTTTTCCGTTTGAGATTAGAAGAACGTGCAAGTGTGTCCGTACTCTATGGCCCAAGAATCTTTTTTTTAATGATAACTCTTAGACTGGATTTTATAATAATAGACATATACGGACATGACAAAAATGTGTTCATTATATTAATTTATTATATGAAATTTCAGTTTATATTTACTTTCAATAAACTATGAGTCTAAATTGTTCTTTTACCGGCAAAATACAGAACTCAGGTGTAAAGGATTAAATAAACGAGCTAAATTGTTTATTTACGAGTAAAATTAATTGCATAAAGGATATTAAATGTTTAATTTTTTATTAATTTATTTAAAGTGACATCGACTTCTGAGGTCATTAGCGATTAATACTGTTCATACATCGTTACATACGCATTCTTTTATTTATATTCATTTTCTATTTTTTAAATTTTGTTTGTAGTTCAGGTTGTGAACAAATGTCTCCGAAGAGAGAAAATTATTTAGAGTTACAAAATTTGTGAACGATTGTACTGAACAAATTATTCTTTAAGACAAAAGTATAAAATTCGAAATACTCGTATACTATGAAATGCCATCTGTCAATAGGTCGAGGTCATTCACTTCTACATAAAACTTCATGGGAAAGTCGTCGTGAAACCACCAAGTAAATTAGACTTTGAAAGTGTTCATGATTCGTGTTCGATTTCTATAAGGAGAGAAAACTACGCGAACTTCAATCGCCTTGTTGCGATAGTCCGGTGATCATTTTATATCTGCATGAAGGCGAGGTAATTTTCTAAGAGATGGCGTCTCTTTTTAACCTTTGAGCCTTGTCAAAACAAGTATTTTATAGACTAGGGGTTTCAAAAACGAGACCCAGAAACTGCGGTTGTTCATTTGTGGGAGATCAGAACCATCCGAATTTACATGTTTCCATGCGGGACTACATTTACGTCGTTAATCATTTTCAACCATTCAATACACTTTCGAATGTTTTATAGATTTATCTATGATTGATTTACAGTATTATGATTTAATGACCGTAGAAAATTACAAAAGGAAAAATTACAGTTGAAGTTCGTTAATGTTTTGACATCAAGGAGGCAAAGAGTCACAGTGCCTGATAGTAAACAAACATTTGTTAACATTTAAAGTTTATACTACAAAGTATTCAACACGTCAATGCACAGATTTAAATTGACAGTGAATATCTACAACTTAAATATAAAAATTAATATTCTGCATTCCTTTTACAATCATTACATACATCTACTTTTTATTGCACGTAATAATATGTTAATTGTGAAGCTAGAGTATTTATTAATTTTAAATTAATTAATATTATTTGATTAATTGTTATATTGGGTTTTTTTATTTACTATTAACCTCATGCTCAGCGCTTTCTACCATTTCCTTTACTTTATTTGCACCTTCCCTAACAATTGTTCAATTTGTATTACTAATTTCGAATATACTTAAAGATTGACTGGAAACGAAACAGTCTATTGCAATGTAAGAGCAGTCATCGATTGTTTTTATTCATCTCAGCTGCTCAAACGCCATAGCCTGGAATTAAATTGGAGAACAGTAATGATTAAAATATTCGGTCGTAAACGATCGAGATATCCCGAATGCGAATTCAGCCGAACAGGCATGCACTCTGACGTGACCTAAGAATCCACGGCATATTTACCAGAAGCTCATACTCACACCTCCTTTCTAAGGAAATTTCCTACCCCTGCCGTAGGCCGTCCCTCATAAACCGCGCCTGGAGGAGGTCGCAGGCTGAAAGGTCTCGGCTTCACCTCACTTCGTACGTATACGCAGAGACGCGCGCCACGTGGTTGCATTGTCTGACGGAGCAGGGAAGGACACCGAGAATATCGCTGTAATCTTGACTCGTTCGGCAGGGTATTACCGCAGATTGGCTGAAGCGCGAGATTGGAGATAGTTTCCACGTCCAGGTACTTTGTGTTGTCGTCCTTTGTTCGTGCGTTGCGCGCGCTGCCTACTCACGGCGGCGTTAACTTCCGTGTGCGACGTTGCAACTGGCGGCGAACGGAGACGGAGCGAACAAAAATTCTGAACTGAGGGGAATCGCTTTTAAAATGATTATGATTAGAGATGGTAGAATTTAGCACTTTAATTTTTTAAACCTCATTTTGAAAACAAGCCTACAGCACTTTTTAACAATATAAACATTACGTTTCTAGTAGTATTTCGTAGTAGTATTAGTAGTAGTATTTTTTCGTAATAGTATTTCTAGTAGTATTTTCCTTTGTTCGTTTCTAGTAGTATTTATTAAGATAATTATTATTAAGGATGGAGTCTATGAGATATTAGAATATTTTGATGCTTTTTAGATCTTACCATTACAACCAGGATTTAAGGGTAACTACTTTAATATTTCGTCTCTAATGAACTTCAACAAATACGAAAGCATGCGAAGTATAAGACGTAACGCGAGCGCCGTCAGCGCAGGGCCTTCCCGTGACCTCCATTCTACGAACTAAGGAAGCTCAGATCCCTTGAGATAACACTCAATACTCAGTCTTTCCAAATCAGCATTTTGAATGTTCTTATACACTTAATTTTCTCTTAGTTTTGTCCGTTAAGACTTAATTATAATTTCATGAAGACGGCCAATCTTTAATTAAATGTTTTCAAATGCCGATGTGTTGTTATGAATGAAGGAAGCATCGCTAGTTAGAGCTCGCACGCGAGGGAAACCATAAAATGCTATTTAGCTATTATATCATAGATTTACCACCATTTCGCACTTTGCATGTTATTTCGTATTTTACGATCGATTTTTCAATTTATCGCAGATTGAAAACGTTCAGAAATATTCTGCATCGACCGAGAAATACGCAATTACTAATTTTTTCGGCGTTTGGTAACATTTCGCATTTTTAGCAATTGCTAAAATCTACCTTCTCCAGTTACGATGTATTGTGATGCAAATACAATGATTGAATCGATTATTTTGATGTGGCTTAATATCTAAGCATTGCGAAAACGAATTAAGGTCACCATTTGATACATAGTATTGTGACACGTTCAAAGGCTATTTTTATCCTGATATAATTAGGGAGCGGATTTCTACGATTTTGCATATATTTGTCCGTTGCTTCAGTGCGTAGCTGTTAATTTCTTGACCTTTGAATGGAATTGGATGCTATGTAGATTAATATGTTAGTATATATTAGTGCATATTTGACCGACATTTCCTGTTGGTCCATATTCGTTAAATTATAGGGGCATATTTTGGATATTTCGTTAAAATAGAGAACTATCTATTGATAGGCGACAATGCAGGGCGTTGGAGGGTTTTGGGGGCGTTGCAGATGGGGTGAGCGGAGCGATCTAGACGTTATGGAACTATACTTGGAGGGGCGCGATTTAGCATTTCGTATTTCCCGGCGTTCCACGTACTGTGGTTGATTGATTGATTGATTTAGTGATTCCGGGCACGTCAACTACCAGGGTCATTCCCGTGAGTGTAGTGCGTGTTTTTGCTGGTGGCGGTGATCTTTCTCCCTCAGTATGGCGTGATCTGATGCCGACCTACCGTCGGCTAGTGGGCTTTTCCCAACCAGATCTCTCCCACCAGCAGGGTACCGTCCCAGCCGGGACAAGCTTTAAGCTCCTAACCGGTCTCTCAGCATATGTGCTTGTGAAGTGCGCGTTAGTGTAAGTGTAAGGACAAGGGAGAGGGTAGGACAATCAGGTTTCAATTCTTTTCGCAATCAGGTATTTCTCTCCAGCAGGTCACCACCCCAACCGGGACAATACCCATGCTCCCGACTAGTCTTCCAGCATGTGTTAGTGCAGTGCGTGTAAGTGTGTGTATGTAAAAGGTGAAGAGAGGGCAAGGAAGAGGAAGGTAAGATCGCGCGTGGTCCGTGACCCGTTTGTTAGAGTACTGCTCCGGCGTTCGGCTGGTGTTAAGCGTTGAAACGACAGAAAGCTACTGACAAAAGCAGCCGGCCGCTAGAATTCTCCTTCAGATATCGGCTGAATTCTATCTAGTGTCAAAAGTCAGCGACGAAGCCTAGGACCTGCCGATCAAAGGCACTGCCATGACATCACTAGATGCCCTGAGCCACCGATGCCGTTGCGGGATAGAGCTTGGAAACGTGGGGCGGCGCGGGGCGGCCCGCCTTCAGTCTCTTCGAGCCGGGCAGTTGGGGCGTTGCGCGCACAGGGCAGCGAGGGCGACGCGGGATGGGGCGGGAGGCGGAGCGTCGTCACGCGGAAGGCACGGGTAAGGCTCGGGCGTCGTGCAGGAAGCCCGGCGCAGCCGCTCCACGGGCTCTCGGAAGGCAGGCGGCCGGGGCTCCTTTTAAGGCAGGGTCAGTTAACTGGACGCGCCGGAGAGAGACATTGCGAATGGCTGGTAGCGCGATAATTTCACTTGCTCAGGTGGGGGGGGGGGCGGCCCTTGAAGTAGCACACACCAACCTTATGAATAATTAAACGTCTTCATAACCTGATTGGGAGAATGTTTGGAATTGTTAGTTGTTGTTGGACATGAGGACGGGGAATTGGACGCGATTCTCGGTCCGTCGGACTCATAAATTCTCATCCATTCGCTTGAAGATGCCATTCTTTTCTCTGCGAAGTAATGTCGGAGGGGAGCTGGATTTTTTTCACCGGGATATGAAACAAAGTATTTCCAAGGTAGAAATATTTTTCAAAGTTGTTATGAAACTATGGATGATCAAAGAAAGCTATAATTGCCATGCTCTTCTCATAGAAAACAGCTAAAACTTGATGTAGGTGCTCAAACACCACCTGACATTTTGATATAATTTTTATGGTTCTTTCCTCTTTAAATAAGTATCTAGAAATATGCCAAATAAATTACATTTTCCAATTAAACCCTATTAAAATGTCTAAATAGAAATGAAGTTCTTGCAAGTGTCTATGGACATTGTGTTGGCATTAAATTCGTTAGATACACTTGCGGAAAATTCGAGTATCTTAAATTCTCAACAACGTTATCATAGTTCGAATAAAGGCGTTTTTGATGGATATAGGTAAATATGAAAATTCGTATACTGAACTGATTAAGTGAACCCAGTGTTCGTATATGTAATAAATGTCCACATTTATGTAGCAAGCTGAATACCTTTTTGATTTTTTGAATACCTGACGTTTTTTACTACCTGCAGGTATGCATCACACAGGAATCCGTTTGCTGCAAACAAGAATTTTTCTCAGAGTTGCAAACATGTATTTGCAATTTTTTTCGCAAAATAGTTGCAGGAATCATTGCAGGTGATTATGCATTTTATGACGTAGAAATTACAATATTCTGTCAAATGGCATGACTTTCTTTTAATTTTTTAATTTTTGGGAGAAGAAAGGGCTGAAAACTCATAATTGACATGAATCATTGGCTTTTTACAAACCTGTGGTCGTATGTTGAGATTGATACCATACATAGGAACAATCTACAGAAACCATAAATATTAGTTTATTTTGCTGTAGTGTTTTTATCTTTTTAACTCTCGATAGTATAACATCAGTTCATTAAAATATTTTTTTCTGTTGCAGAGTTGAGCCCACTTCCAAGATCGTCAAAGAAAGTGGACGTTTCGGAGACTTTTTAAGAAGAATGTTTCTGTTGAGAATCTGGCTACAACATGAATATGGCTTCCTAAAGGAACACAGATATTGTGACTAGAAAAATTGCCCATTCAGTGGATCTCTCTTCATTTTGGGAATTTTTTGAGAAACTGTTTCTAAGGAACTCGTAGACTTGGTACAAGATCAAAGAAACCTGTATGTTTTCCACAGAAATAATTGAAATACAACCATATAAGATTTACAGAAATTCAATTCTTTCAAAATAGACGATTCCAAAATAACGAGCAAAAATAAAGATTGTTCCTCAATTTATTGGATTATCCTCTTGGAAATTACAGTTTAATTAAAAAAGTAATTTATAATATATTTTGGAGACATTTTGAGCTCATGCATGCAACTACAAATTCAATGACTACACATAACGAATGCAAAAAGTGTATACATTTTAAATCTTGAAAACTCTAAACTTTTTATTAGTGAATAAGTCACTTTTTTGTTTACACGTTTTCAGGGACTTCAAAAATGTAATATTTTTTTTGCATCAAAAAAGTTAAGATATATTAATTTGCAATATAAAATCGAAAATGCGTACTAATAACACAATATCGTGAGGGAAAGGGTCAATAAAAACCAGGGGGATCTCTTTGCAATTGTCGAGGGTCCTATTGAGTATTATTAATCCGTCGCTGATAGTGGTGCTATCGTCACATACTTCTTGGAATTGTTTCCTTATGATATATGGGAGATATGGTACCCTATTTCTGAGGTTAAATGTAAATATATAAAAATTGAAGAAACATGTTTACAAGGTAAGCAAAAGCTATTGACAAATTATTAAAAAAGGTAATTTTTAATTATGAAGGAAGGAATTATGCAAGAAATAAATGTTGATATATAATAATTGAGGCTTTTTGATACATCCAATCACGTAGAAACATTAAAAATAATTGGATCTCCAGATATCACTTCACCACTCCTATTCCACTACCTCTTTCCTCACAAAACAGCGACACCTTTAGAATTTGTTAATCGTGAATTGAAAAAGGCAGAAGAAAGACTCTTTAACATAAACTGCATTTATATTTTTGTTTAATATTTTTATACTATAAATGTTTTTCACTCCCTCCCTAAGATTGGGATTCGCGTCCAGAATCTCTCGCAGGTTGCAACAGGGGCACTTGCAATGGAGTACTGAGTTATGATGCAGAGTTTCATTATGTCCAAACTTCTTTTAAGTGGTAAGGAAATTAGTATCAAATATGAGCATAGCCAGAGAGCCCATAGGGATCTCTGCCTTCTAAATCTGCGGCTTTCCATTCTCCTTCTTATAAAATATATCATAAAGTAAACTTACAACATTACTTTTGAAATTGAACTTTTCTAAAATGCAGAAACTTTTCATTGCTGAAGCACTCGTCTTGTTCTATCATGCAATAGTGCAGGCTTAAAGCGATCGTACACCACCTTGTGTATGGTAAAAACTTAATTATTGTTTAAAAATAACGGGAGAACGACTCAACAGAAACAAAAATATATAATTGAAACCTTTAAGGGATTTGTAGAAAATATGCAAACAATACAAAACAATACTGACTCGTTTAATTATTAAAAAAAGTTTGCTTTTTAATTCATGTCATCGGGGGACCTAGATAATTGCCTAGTATTACCTATTGGTTAATCCACCATTGACCACTAGTTTAAATTTCCGCCACGTTCGGCGCTTCGTCGCTGCACTGTGAGTCTGTCCGCGCGGCGCAGTGACAGCAGGTCAGCCGTCGGCGGCTGCTGCCAGCGGGCATCGAACGGAAGACTGCAAGTTTTTGCGCCACGCCCGGCACATGTGACGCGTGATGGATCAAGGAAGGCTTGGCGTATTCTTGGAACCATTGTGATGTCAGCGCCGTGCTGTATATATCATCGCTCCGTCTTTTGCCCCGTTAAAATGACAGCGATCATGATTCATATAGCAGATGTAGCGGAGTTCGTTCAGCTTCTTTGTTCTTCAAGAGTGTTTGAATAGTTTAAAATGGGTCCGTTGGGTTTGGTGATTAACGAATACTGATTATCGCTGTTACCTTTGACTTTGAATTTATGTCAGTTGAGAACGATACCTTTTTCATCAACGAGTTTTATGCACGGTATTTGATTGATTAATTGTTTTAGTGATTCCGGTCACGTCAACGGGGTATTATTGCCCTAAGTGTAGTGTGTGTTCTTCCTTGGGAGGTGGCAGGTTCTTTCTCGCCGGACGGTGCGATCCGCCTCCGACCTACCGTCGGGTAGTGAGGTTTTCCCCAACCAGGTATCTCTCCCCAGCGTGGCACCGCTCCAAACGGGACAAGCTGTAAGCTCCCGACCGGTCTCTCGGCTTATGTGCTTGTATAGTGCGTGTTAATGTAAGTGTATGTTGAAGGGGAGAGGATACGACGAGGAAGAGGTAAGAAAGATCGCGCGCTGTCCGTTGGCCCGTTTGATAGAGTACTGTTCCGGCATTAGCCTGGTGTTGATCGGAGAAACCACGGAAAACTACCGATCAGAGCAGCCAGCTACTAGAATTCTCGACTGAATTCGACCTAGCTGACAAACTAGAGCCAAAATCCTGCCACTGTCGGGTCTCGAGCCTAAGATGTCGCGGGTAGGGAATGATGCAGTGACATCATTCGATGTCTTAAGCAATCTCTTCCGGTATGGATTTATCACCATATGGAATAGTTAAATAGGTAAATTGAATGTGAGAAACTAAACCGTGCTCACATTGCATCTTGTCATTTAATTAACCGTTCGGTCTCATGACTTGGTGAGGATATTGGCATCTATTGTAGGACGTCAATTATCCTATCGTCAATAATGCAAAACGTCAAATGCCCGAAATCATATTTTCTCTGAATATTTTTTGTTAGGCCCCATATATTATACGTGTATATTTTCTTTTGTAATAATGAATATTGGGACTGATGCTCGCTGTGATTGACAATGATAGAACATTAACAAGATACTGTACTATAGTAATTCATTTGACTTGAGTGAATTTTGCCAAGTACTTCAATAAATGCTTCAGAACACGGAATTTTTATTATTAGGAGAAAAAGAAGCTTTTCAACACCTTTACGTGTAAGTGAACTAACGGAACATTGCCAGACAACCGACCGTAAATGCTTAGCAGCTGCCACTCACTCGGACTGTTCATTCTTTATAAACTTTGTACAGCATTAATAAGATCCCTGGTGCGATAGATACCTTCTAATAATTAAATAAATAGGAAATGTTGTCTAGTATTAACAGTTTTTTTTAACTTAAGATCTTTTCAATTGCATCACTATCATCATCATCATCATCATCACCATCACCAGAGCTACCTTGCAGTCTCTGGGTGGAAAACAAAGTTCTGCAGAACTTTTGTTTTCCGCCCAGAGACTGCACGAACGGAAGTCTCACACAAGTAATTTTATTTATATTATAAACATAAATGATTAATTTACCTAAAACCCAGTATTATTAAACCCAGTTTATATTAAAAACAATACATACAACAATACAAAAAAAACAAACGAAGGGGGTTTGATGATTTAATTTCGATAATATAAATACTTTCCACATAAAAACAAACACTTGTCAACGAAAGGTTGTAAGTCATTCTGGTAACTGAGATTTTTCAATAATATAAATATAAATTGTTCAAACATTGGTGAAAACATTTTTTCAATCACATTTTGGCGCGAATTTGCGAAGTTTTTAAACTGATAAAGTTGGGTGTAACGTTTTTCACTATCGTCCACATTGTTTAAAGATCTGAAAAAATTATATAATAGAATGTTACGAGACACATTCTAGGGGGAAAATGAGAAAGACTCGAAATCAATCATCAGAAAGGTTTCGGTACTTGTCACCATTTAGATTACCGTCAATAAAGTATGGTCCGATAAGTTTATCGCCAATTATTCCACACCAAACGTTAACCGACCAAGGTCGCTGATGATTTACTTGACGAATCCAGTGAGGACTTTCTACACTCCAAAAATGCATGTTATGGTGGTTAACTACACCGTAGTTTGTAAATGTCGATTCATAAGAGAATAGTACTCGAGTAAAAAAGTTCGGATTCGTTTGTATTCTCTGAACTGCCCATTGACAAAACTATAGTAGGTTTTGAAAGTCATTGTCACTTAATTCCTTATGCAAGGATACATGATACGGATGAAATTGGCTTATCTTCAGTATCCTCCAAACACTCATACGAGGAATCTCTGATTGTTGAGATATTTCTCGAACACTCGCATGTGGATAATGAGCTTCTGCAGCCAGTACTAATATTTTATTATTTTCTCCAGTACCAGAAACTCTACGTGTTCTCGTCTTCGGTTGTACACTTCCGTCAGTAGAGAATTGTTGAACAAATCTAACGATATAAGAACGCGATCGTACTCTGTCAGGAAAACGTTGAGCATACAAATTCTCAGCAGCGTCGAAAGTTCTCCCAGCTTCGCCGTAAATGAATATAATTTCAATTTTTTATTGTATATTTACATAATCCATGATGCAACAACGAGGAATGTTAATTCAGAAAGGTAAATGTTTAATAAATATCGGATCGCCTTTGAAGTACTGTACGCACGGACCATGGAGTGACGCTAGCAACAAATTGACGGGTGTGCCCGGAGGCCACACTCAAAACCACTCTAATTACAGTCGGAAATCTTCTAAAATTAAATTTTTGCGATTATAGCTCCACCTATCATAAATCAGAAAAAAGTTTCATACAAAACTTATGTGCTTTTGTCCGTAAAATCCGAATCTGAAATAAAAAATGGAGGTTCCTATTTAAGATTTCAATGTTGCCCACCGCCCCACCCGCTGGGGGAGGAAGGAAGTGCTGATGTTAGCGTAGAATGATTCCGCCTTCAAAACTGTGAAGATTTGGTCTCGGCTCAATTTTTCTTACATCGCGTATTTTTTGAGTTATTTCAAGTTATCCTGGGACACCTGAATAAACTTTGAAGTTGCAGAGCAGACAATTAATTAAATTTTGCTAGAAGTCAACTGTTACACTGACGACGCAAATTATAAATATCAGCAACACGCATACCAACTATGATGCATTCGTGCACGTGATGAAAATTACTTCTCTCAATTTTAAAAATGTTGTTAATCTACAACTAATGAAAGTACAAAATCTTATACATACATCGGCTGGAAAAAAGTGTTTCGAACTCCAATTACCATGGTCTCATGAATATTTTATTTCCCTTTCGGGATTTACTATTCTAAAAAACCTTGTATTTCTCTTTTCATGTATCAACAAACATTTGGAATACTGAAACGTACATAATTATCTTTCCGTTAATCTTCCAAAGAGCATGCGGGTTTACACCTTCTATAAACATGTGTGTTAATGCCTGAAATAATACGAATGAATGAATTTAAATGTGGCAAAGAGTCAAGCAAAATAGAGGATAAAGAGACATTGCTTCTCAGTTTTATTTGCAATATGTTATGTCTTCGACAAAATGTATTCCCGTAATGCTAATAACTTATTGTCCGAGCATTGATTTAATTTTTTTCTCGTAATATGTTTTTTTGTTGTGGGTTTTGTCAGATTATCTGGCAAAGCAAGTTAAGCATAGAGATATTCACGAGTGATATTAAAAAGAGGAAGAGAGGGAGACGATGGGAGAGGAAGGGAGAGGAGGAGAGATAATGCAGAGAACGCCAACATAGATGGAGTTTGCAATTGGTTGCTTTAAATGAAACTGGTAGAGATCCAATAGCTGAGAAAATAACATTGTTGTACCTTTTTCTTAAGTTAAGTACAAATCAAAATTTCACTAAAACAAGGTAAAAAAATCTATTTGGTATATGGTTTTAAAGTTGTTCTATGAGCAACAAATTTTGGAAATTAAATACAGATTTATTATGAATCTTATAATTGTGTTGAAATTTAGAAGCAAAATGCCCTAATTTTAAATTCATGAAGTCTTTATTAGCATACACATTCTTTATTAATATTGTGTAATTTTATAGCCCAGACTTCACAACTCTCCACCTTACTTTACTGGAGGCATATAAAATGGCAATGACGTGAAATATTTTACTCTAATGCTAAATTATATATATTTTCCATTGAGTTTACATTACGTTTAAGTTACCACAATTTTTATGAATAGGTTAAAATGAACGTTTCTCTCATTGCTCATGACCCTCTCCTCTTACTCTCTTTCTCCGTAACCCAAGGATACGATTTTAGAAAACTACATTGCCAAAGGGGCATGCGTGAGATGTTACGAGATATCTTTTTTGCTATGGTTACGTACACAAATTGTGTAATTAATAATAATTACAGCAGAATGCTTTATTTCCTGTAATTAAGAGTTACTATATGCAAATAATCATTTTTCTTCTGCGGATATAAGAAACATTTTTACATGAAAATAATCTATTAATTTATGATTTACATTAAATTAACCCTAAGTGGTACTAATAGGGTTTTTGTTATGAAAGTATTTTATATCTCGAATTTTCGGTAGCCATGATAATGAATGTATGATAATTTGTTAAGTATATTTTGGTATCATTAGTAACATTAATCTCGGGTTCATCCATCAATGTTTGTACAGGAAAAATTCTCACCTTCTCGTGCCATTGTAAGGAGAAATGGATATGGATTTATAAACTCTATTTCAAAACAAATTTGAAAGTTAAGAAGGCAAAGTTATATGCGTTAGCAAATGAAATATGAATATTTAAAACTTCGAGACGTTTTATGCACACTCATGTATTCCTTCACAACATGTGCACTTTGTTACAAAATTTGTTTCAATATCTTATGTAAGATTGAACACATATATTTCAGTTCCAAATAATAGTACTATCACGTTGCCATATCAGTTTGCATGTCACTCTTCTTGAAGAAGCAATCGAGCAATAAGAAATGCTTATTCTCCAACTCAGATTTTTTGTTTCTTCTGTTTGGAACGGGGGTGACCCCGTTCGAAATCCCCGCATTCTTCTCCGTCTCCGCAGAGAAAAGCACTAACGTCGAAATTCACAATCTTCTGAGAGTTTGGGTTGTCTTCAGTCGGAACAAACACTGGAAATGAATTTAAGTGGCTCTCTTGAGCGTTCTCTGTTTGGCAAAGCGAAAAATTCATTGGATTATGCGACTTAAGACCGCTAACAAATTTTAGTATGTTCTCCTCCTTAGTTGATTCTGAGGTGTTATAACTTTGGTCTTCATCCCTTGATTGAATCATTTTGCCGTCATTTCATTTGTTTATCTTCGGGCAATAATTGTTTTTTGTTTTCATTACACTTTGCTTCGAGATTTTATCGAAAACATTATCGATTTTAAATATGCATATTATTATCCATCCATTATATTCAACTTAATGTGTAGTGGCCTGGCATTGTTAGTCGTCTTTGGTGTGTGTTAGTCACAAAGACTTTTATCGTAACGTGTGTCTTATCGTACAACTAGATTTTCTTACTAACGCGTGTCTTGAATTAAAGCTCAAGAACTGCCCAAGAGACATACATACATGCACATTCCATCCACACCTTCATCCACACATTCGTACTTACAGACACAATGGTGAACCTCCGAAATGGACTTAACCATATAAATCTTGAGTCTCTCATTCCAATCAAGTTATTTTAGACTATAATTCCAATACTTTTCTTCTATACTATATACATCCAAGGAAGGTTGCAGTAGTGAGTCTGTGAGCACCCCAAAACTCCTTTAATCTTGGTGTACTGTTTTGAAGTTCGGTTGATTCCATTACTTTATCATTTATTTTTAATTACACGGACGCACTTATTAATTTATTTTTTCAAAGAAAATTTTGTAGCTACAGCAATGTAATATTGACAGGCAATGGGAAAGCTGCAAAAAATTATCGGAAGCATTCACATCAACTAAAATACATTACGGAATATTGGTACATCATATTCCGTTGTTTGTGAAATAAATACTAAATGTTCACAAATCAAATAGACATCCCTAAAATATTCGATCCCCATGGTAATTTCGCGGGTGATGCTTGATTGTTGCGTTAAAAAAGACCAAATAGAATGCAAGTCAGTAGTTTGGAACAAAAACACCTGTGGTAAAAACATAATAGCATTTTCGTTAATCATAGATCCAAAGAAGTTCCCAAAGAAGAAGAAGAATATATATGAAGAAAGTAAACAAGGTAAAAGTATACTGAAGGTAAATTTAATGTTAAATTAATATCGGTCTTTGAAAGCACAATCGCTCTAGAGTTAAGTATATTTTATACTTACTTAAATTTTTCTAAATCAATACAATATTAAAAGAATGTAAAGTACTTACTAGAAAGAAAATATCCAGAGTATATTATCTTTCAAAACCTTTGGTGTTTCTGAAGTAAGTTTCTGAAATACCTGTCATTGTTTAAATTTCAAGTCATTTTAAATCTCTTATTTACATTACCAAATGAATACTCAACTTGTCGTGTGTGCTTTAAGTTACAAAGCTGGTAACTCAGTAAAATGATGTTTACATCTTGGCGTGTTGTCGAGAATTTGAAATGGCGCTAGAGGTTAAAGGAAAGAACTCGCATATTATCGTCTTGCACAGTATCGTCGGGTCGACAACAGATGGTGCATTAAGGCATATACAGAAATAGATAAACAGTCACTTAATCTCTTTGAATAACCGCAGGTGAATTGAAACATTTCATTTCAGTGTGTAGCAGTTCATTACCGAGTAAACACATTGCAATTATTTGATCGTAAGGAATACCATGTTGAATAAGTGAATATTATTTTGAATTCGTGTGATTCAACTCAGATCAACGCATTGCGTCAGAAGAGATGGAATACATTCGAGAACTTTCATCTTCAGAAGTAAGTGTTAATCGTCTTGTCGTGAATCTTATTTATACATAATTTTAATTTATTTACGAGATAATCTTTGGCGTTGAGAAACGTGTTGACGTTGTTTACGTGTGTTTCTATTGATCTGCATTTTGTGACAACTGTAAACATATTTCCAAGATGTGTCCTGAGTTACTCAATTTGTTTACTTATTTGTAAGTTAAGTTTTTAAGTGCATGGGAGTTGCTGAAGTTGAGTTGACTGTTTGGTCCTCTCTCAAGCAATACATTTCCAAATTAAGAACAATAACTGTTGTGATTTTAGTCAGTTCAGTATAAGTAATTTTTAAAAAATACTTCAATTCACAATTAAGGTATCGGGCCTAAGCTTCTATTCTTATTACATTTCAGGAAAACTAGTTTCTCTTAACCAGATTAGGTAATGAGTTTTATAATCCAAGGATAATTGTACAAAGTATATTTTTAATTCTTTTAATGCACATAAGTGTAGTAATCATGCTTTTAATTTATTTATTAGTTAAGTGTGTACAGAACATATTCAGTAATGTAAGTTATTACATATATTCTTGTTGTATGGAAACATTTCATAATTATACATTATAACAAAATAATAATTAAAAGGCTAATCAGTAGTGTGCACAAGGGAATTTGAAATGCCAATTGAAGATTATATTTTATATGTTTATTTACTAGATATTGTCAGAATTGTCTCTTTCTGGAGGTCAATACATTCACAAATTTTTTCCACATATTGGTATCACATATGAATATTTATCATTATTTCAACCTACAATAATTAACTACAACAGTTCATCCTTGTAGGAACTGCTAAAGTTCTTGATCAACTCAGAGATTCAGTACCCAAAGTGATAGAAATTAAAAAAAAATTGGGGAATGAAATGGTTTGTGAGTGAATGTCATTAAATATAATTTTTCAACAGAAAGGGTGTTGAACTGTGGTGAATGCATAGATGCTGAAAACATTTCGAGAGGACTTTTCAGATAGTACTGTTTTTAAGGAAGTTTTACCATTTATATTTTCATTCTGATGGTAAGTTTCTAATTTTCTAAATATTGACTTTGTTTTTTTTTTGGAATACGTCTGTTTTATTTCAATTTATATTTTTTGTGATTTCAACAACCATTATTTCATATTTGCCGAAATCTTCTCAGTTGTCCATTACCAACGCCTATGTCTGATCAGCACCTAAAGTGTTGAGATGAGTTTCTCTAAAATTAACAAACCCCGAACAATCAGAAGGAACCCAAGACTCTGAGTTTGAAACGGTATTTTGATTTTTGGGGGTACCTTACGTGAAGCCTCAACAACATACACAAATTTATCCAAAGAAGACACATTTGTTTCTTAAATTTTGTCCTCGGATTGCATAAAGGGTGCTTAAAAATGCGTAGGGGTACTTTTCTTTGAAATCTTTCGTTCTTCCAAATTTTAGAAAATTGGAAAAGTTCAAAATATTTTTATCTTCCTTCAACTGCCATATTGAAGACATATTTTTTCAAAATGAAATCTGTTGTTCAAAGAGAGATTTTGAGATAAGGTTATGAACAGTTTTCAAAAATATGAGTAGTTTAGCGTAATTTCGCATGAAATACTGTCTATTTTTAAACAACGTTTGTCCCAAACACTCTCCAATTTTTTTCTCACTTAATAGTGAAAAATGGTGCTGGTTCCATATTCGGCTCTCTGTATTTTCCAACATGGCAAAAAATTAATATTACAATATTGGCAATGGAGATGTTTGTTCAATAAAAGTGTACTACAAAAAATTAGATTTTTAAAAAAGGTCACGTACAATTCTTTTTTAAAAATTGTGAAGTTTGCCTTATTTCTTCTTAAAGCTAACGTTTATTATTAAAATATTTCATCATTTTTCAAAATTGCATAAGTCAGAAATAATGGAAGAAACCACTAGTATTTTAAGTGTCTGAAATGTTGAAATCAGCGGACGCCTGATGGTAAAATGGTGACAAGCCTGTCATTTTGTCTCAAATTTGTTTCCGAATCTCGATGTTGAGAAAAAAAATTATGGTCGTACGAAATGAGTCATGACATTTTACGTCTTATTAGTGCCAATTATTGGGAAATGCAACCTAAAATATTACATACTACATTGCCCCCTAAAAACACTATCTCATGTTATCTGCTGCTCAGTCGCGTGTTTGTCAACTCGCGTTGATCTCATCGTGATATGAGTTTGTGAACTACTATGCAATGTTTGCTGCGTCTATGGCATCCTTCACATTCACCATTCTGAATGGTTCCATTGAATAACATGGCAGCAATCTTTTGAATGAATGTTTTGTTCAAGTTTTGTTGGATTCGAGCCTTTAAGACACGCCGCTTCTTTACCCGTCATATATCGCCAACTACTCCCGGTTCATTCTTTGCTCGTTATCAGCCACCCCCGCCCAATGTTTTCCCCCCCACTCTGCTGCCTCCCGCCGTCTCGCGCCGTCCTCGCGCGTCCTCTCGCCGTCCTCCTGCCGTCCTCCCGCGGATCTCCGCCGTCCTCTCCGCCGTCCTCCCGCGTCCTCCGCCGTCTCCCGCCGTTCGCTCCGCCGTCCTCTCCGCGTCTCCCGCCGTCCTCCCGCGTCCTCGAGAGGTGCCTCGTCCGCGTCTCTCCGGCCGTCCTCCTGCCGTCTCCGCCGCCTCCAGCCGCTGTCCTCCGCTGTCCTCCGCCTGTCCTCCCGCTGTCCTCCCGCTGTCCTCCGCCCGTCCTCCGCCGTCTTCCCGCTGTCTCCGCCGTCCTCCGCCGTCACCCGCCGTCTCTCGCGTCTCCCCCGTCCTCCGCGTCCTCCGCCGCCGTCCCCGCGTCCGTCCCGTCCGTCTCTGATCACCCGGGGCCGTCCTCCTCTCCGCCGTCATCCCGCCGTCCTGCTGCCGCCGTCCTGCCCGCCGTCCTCGCGCCGTCCTCGGTACCGCGTCCTCGACCCGTACCTCCGCCGTCTCTACCGTCCTCCTGGCCGCCTCCCGCCGTCTCCCCGCCGTCCTCCACCGCCGTCCTCACTGGCGCCGTCCTCCCGCGCTCCTCACCGCCGACCTCCCGCGACACGCGACCTCCCGCCGAACATCATCAGTCCTCAAACCCTCTGGCCGACCGACCCTCCCTTTGAACACTCCGACACCCCCGCCGGGTCTGGCCCCCCCCCGTTCCTTCGCCCCACTGTTCCGACCCGCCGTCTCTCTTGCTGCGTCGCCCACCGCCCTCCACCCGTTACCCTTTATCCTCTCCGTCTCCCCGCAACGATTCCCAACACCGCCCCATTGTCCAGGCCATGTCCGTCAACCGTCCCATCCCTGTCCCTCCACTGTCCGGCAGTCCTTTACCGTCCACCTTTCGCCCGGCAGCGATCCATCCGCCGTCTTTTCTCCGTCCACCCTCCGCCACCGCACCTTCCATCCACCGTCCACTCTCCGTCCACCCGCCACGCTCACCCCGTCCAACCGCCGCCGCCGCCGGGCGAGAGGTCGTGCGGGCGGGCGCGCGGTATCAAAGTACGCGATCGAGGGCCGGCGGCGGCAAATTGAGCGATTAACGCGGAGACGACGAGCACATGGGAGAGGGCGCCATAAATTTGGCCCAGCAGTGACGCTCGTGATTACTTTACAGAAAATTAAGACTCCGCCGTATTATTACTTCGAAGTGGAACACGCTAGTTTCGTATTCAGATCTCATCGTAGGAATGTCCATATCGAGATTAGTACATAATCACTAATTAAATTGCCATTTGCTTGTTGCTTTCCTTATTCGTATGGAGTTTATGTAGAAATTTTAATGGGTTTTTAAATAACTGCGATATAATTTGTCCTCCAGATCGGTAACAAGTGGTCATCATGTTTCATTATTCCGTAATCGTTGAAAGGGGAATGAACCTGACTGAAATTTGTACGCGTCTTTTGTTACTCTTTTCGGTTTCTTCCATTCTGACCGTAGCTCTTGGTTCGGGATACGAATTGCATTAGCGTCTCTCTTTAGACGAGCACCCGCCGGAACGATGCGAGGTTTGAAATGATCCCAAACATGTTGCCATGGTGCAAAGAGTCAATTTACTGTCCGCATGATGTATTTATCTGTGTCGCCGACGTGGTCGTCAACGCAGAGTGGCCATCCACTAGCAGCAAGTCACAAGGAGCGCGTGGGAGGCGACGTGGGTTGCTGTGGCCAAATGAGTTGCGAGCGCGCGTCGAGGGATCGACTCGTCTCTAATCGACCGGCCCCCGCCGGCCAATTCCGGCTCGATTGCCGAATTAGAATATTAAACCAGATTGGAAATGCATGATTTGCTGTCGCGCGAGCAAGCTCTAATTACGTGCGCCGCTCCAAAGTATGAAAATTTCATTCGATGGGCGAACCTCGCCCTGACGTCGGAGTGTCTTCCGGCCGCGTTGCGCCGTAAACTTGTGGCCCAGCTGTTGAAGTTGATGGGTTGATCTCTGTGCGCGCGCAGGTTATTTCGTATTTCCCCGATAAATTGCGGGCACCTTCCATGTAATTATCGCAGGCGGTCGATAAATCCACGCGGTCGGGGCCTCGTCGCGGAAGCCCCGCGTCGCTCGGCAGCGTCTGCGCTCGCTTCGGCTTCGCAGCCGCGCGGGTTTGCGGCGCCGCCAAGTAGTTCACGGTGTCGCCGCTGTGAAGCGCCTCTGGCACCATTTTCACGTAAAGTTCGATTCACACTAGAAGAAATATAATTTCGCACTGCCCGTCGATTTCCTGTACATTTTGCATGTATGACAGTTTCTTTATTCATGAATGCGCAAAATACTATATCAATTAATTGCAATTTGTTTATATTCATTGAGGCATGAAACGTAATCTACATATTTTTAAAGTGGCGTGTGTTCTATCATCTAGATTGATTCAGTGGAGCCCAAGAAATGGGCATCGTGCTTCTCGCGTGTTTCATGAACCAGAACACTTAACATTATCCTTGTCGTCACATTTACATCCGTAGCGTTGATGCCGCTTAGACCTGGCTCACGGCGGTGTTCAGTCAACCCCGGCAGCCAGCCTCCTAACTCTTCGACTACGGTTCGTAGCTGATTTGTGGCAACGTTGAATAGATCATCTCATTAATTAATTATGTCTGCTGGTTTTGTCCTGCTTACCATCAGGACGAAGTCTTCTTCAAACCGTGCTTGAGAATCGTAGACAATCCTGGGGTGACCACGCCCAAAGTTCAATATCGTAAGTCGCACTGGGGACGCGTTCATAATATATTAAGAGTATAAATTGAGATGTCGTTTGAACAGTTATTGTTATTAGCTGGAACCGGTTCGGATGACAGTCTTATTTAGAGCTGTCTCGCTAGCAGCCGGGGACTTTAGTTTGTCGCCTGTTAATAGGTAACTTCACGCGAGGATACGAAAAAAATGCAATTAATAAATACACAACGTCTTTGAAGTTAATTAAGATGATTTCATGTTTTTGTGTTTATCTGAATTTTAATACTCTATAAATACAATACACCCTCTCATTGAATGAACATCAGCTTAAGTAATAACTTAGTTATTGGGTCCAAGAAATAATATATAGGGTTACGATGGAATGGTGGCTAAACAAATTGAAAATATTCGTGTGCAAGTGCAAGGAATTTTGAAAGAACGCCGAATATTCAAATGGCAGTAAAACGTCAGTAAACGTCAATCCGGTAGTAAACATGTAATATTTCCTGTGCCTTTCTACGAAAGAATACAAATGCAATTTTCGTGTGGTTCAGAAACTTAAAAATTTATATTTTAGAAAATTATGAAAACAACTACAAAAGAATTACATTTATTAAAACTAATTTATAAAGATTGTTTTTTCTTTCAACTTGTAATACTAATACAAAGCCATTACTACACTATTATTTGTTACCTACAATGCTAAATTCCAATGTGCGCAGAAATTAAAAGAAAACAGCAGCCTCCGGCCATTTGAGAGGTGTAAGAGGTTTTGTCAGATACCCAGGAACTGGAAAAATACAAAAATAATGAAACTGTTTCGAAGTGAACTGAAAAATGAAAATGTTTGAATGTGTTATTTCGCTTATTGCATACTGCGTATGCCTAATGAATCATCAAACTCAGTGTTTATGCTTTCAATACGCAGATGTCACGGAAAAGAAAGGCTCGAAGGGAGAGGCTCTTAACAATGAAAATTTATTGTATTTTTAAAAATACTCTTGGTATATAAAGAACTGTTGTGTAGTATGTATAATATACCATGCTACTATAGCATTGGAGAAGATTATTTTTGTTCAAAATACAATTTATTGCAGTGTTATACTGGAGTGTTTTATTTGTTGTTCTCTAGCAGTGTGCTCGGTGCGTTTTGGAAAATAAGTTTTTGTGGTTTCGTTCAGCAGCCTTTTTGTTGCTGCAGACTTTTAGTATTATACTAATATATTAATACATTACTTATTGAATTTCAATACTTTCGTGTAGAAATATATGTACACCTATCTTACGTGTTGTGTATGTAATGTGCATACTTTACGTTTTTGTATTTGAATAGTCAGAAAATGCTTTTCAGAATACGTATGCATTTCAACTCTTGGAATTTCTTTGTCCTTTCACATTTGGTTTGAATGAGCTTTTCCCAGAAACATTTGCAATTGGTATTTAACGCGATAATTTGTAAAGTAGATTTCAATCCAAAAGTATTCCATTATGGTATTTTCACACACACACACACACACACATTAGTAAGTGTAGCAGCAACATTCGGAGTTCTTTTTATTCAGCTTCACATAATTAGTCATTATCTATTCTGCTGCGAGAGAATCACCCCCGAACCGTTTCGCTGAGAGCAGAACGCATTCATGTGACCCTGACAGGTGTATCGACTTATCGAAACCCAATTCAGAGCTGGCAGCACGCCAGTGGTCACATTATAATAGCAGACTCCATTCCATACTCTTCCATTCCCACTCGTAAATACTTGGGGCAGCCTTCCTCGAGCCGGCAGTCTGCGCCACTTGCTAGGCAGCTTTTTGCCTCGGTGTCAATTATAGACGTCGTCTGTTTACGTAGAGACGCCCAGGGGTTCATTTTCAGACGTAATGGCACGATGGATGGAAATAAATGGATGCGTTCCGATTACAAGGCTTGTAAAGAGCATTGAGTAGGCGTTGTCGCTCTCTCGTTATCTGCAACAGCTTCCACGCGTCACTCCGCTCAACTACGTCCGCATAAAATGCCTTTTTAGAGGTGTGTTTGGATACACGTGACGTAAAGATGGAACTTCATGTTTAGGAATTATCTATTTAATGCATGAATTAGTTGGTGTGTTTGGAAGCAAAGAGCGGATTATGATACTCATTTTAATATTTAATATGAAATCATTTGCTTATATTTGCGAACATCAACAAAATATATTTAAACTTAATTAAATGACAAATTTAATTGCTTTAAATGGCTTTATATCCCAGTGTCTAGAGTACAATACCAATTAAAATATGTTGTTTATTTTTATTCGTTTCTTTGCGGGTACACTACATAATATTTAGAACTTTTGAGAATTCTTTATTCATGACATACAATACATTTTGTTTGAAGAACAACATACACCAACTCAAATAATTCTAATTCAATACTATTTTGCAGATAATGCTGGTCCTAATGTGTTTACTTTCAATTACTCCACGATGAATTCAAGGTTCGTGCGATATGTAATAGTCAGGGAAATGAACATGTGACACGAAAAGTTGTTGCATGTCGGTTGCGTGGTTTATACGCCCAATTATCTAATAAGGAGACGTAATCAAATAATAATATTCGGTTTCTGCGTACGTAAGAAATTCGGGATGAGCGACATTATGCTTGTTAGAATTCTATAACAATTGCTGATACGACGAGCAATCCTATTCTGGAGGAGGCGAATAATATATGTGTGACAATAGACATTTCAGTGTAAGTTTGATTTCACTACGCTCACGTGAAGTATTATTTTAAGTTCACCTTTCCAGAATGTAAAATATTCAATACTAAATAATTCTGTGTCATATTCCAAAATAGATTATTCAAATTCGTATTTGCTCATGCAAATTACTTACATTCATTACAAAAGATGACAAGTGTGCCTAATTAATATTTTCCTTTCACGTAGGTGCAAACTACAGATCATAACGATCATATTCTTGGAACTTCTCTTGGTCATTCATTAAACCAAATAGTTCTATGAAATATCCGTTTCTCGTTTTACACAGCACGATTTGCGTCTTTTCTGCGGTTTTGCGACAGAAATATTCGTTGAGAATGGGAGGAGTATCGGACAGTATTGGAGAGAAAAGTCTTTGTAGTGGTCTTAAAGGCTTTCAACCAAGCCTCATGTATAATTTTGGTTTCAATATTTGTAATAAATGGCGAACTAAGTAAAATAAATAAAATTAATTGGGCGAGATTTGATTCACATATTATTTATATCGAGAAATAACACATAATTTTATGAAGATTGCATTACTAACCGGAACCTCAAAGGAAGGAAGTAGTAAGTACGTCACATGCAAGGGAATTTATGGGATAGATGTTTCAATTGCAATAATTCAGCTTCGAGGCTAGCTGTTGGTCAGCATGCTCCATTTCCATTACGAGGGTTCGATTCCCGGTGAGGGAAGATTATAGTGTGCGTTTTTCTTGCAATGTCCCAGAGTATATGTTTCTGTGAGTCGATGAAAAAATTCACTTCTCAGGTTAAGAACACCGGAATACGGCGTGGCGATGTCTACGTGCTAACCACACTTACCCCTTAACCCAGGGCCGCGAGACAGGCGCTCGGCGGGAGATCTGAGCCCGTTCACGAGCTGTCGCGCCAAGTACATACATACATTACTATTGAGTCATATACAATTTCAATAGTATGATGATTCAGATATGTATGCTGGTGCACATGGCTTCTTGGTTTCCATATTTTGTACTCTATCTTACTTCACACTATTGTTAAAAAAGGTAGAAATCTGCATTTTAGTATAAGAAATATTCGCCTGCCTCCGACTGTGAGAGAACTGCAAGTCTCATTCAAATTCGATTTTGAATACACTGCTAAGAAATAAACCCGACGTTCCTCTTGTAAGAGGAAGCTCAAGAAAACTTGCGTAGAGAGTGAAGTTACATTTACTGTTGAGAATCAAAGCAGAGGGGCTATCTCAGCATTTGTTCAAAGGATCAAGGGAAACAGAGAAAACTCTGATTGAGTTGGTGTTACTGATCGTCCAGTCGAATTACAATACTTGTTACTAAGTAGAGTAGTAGAGGATAGGACGGAAATACGTAGATGTAGAGAGGGAAATGTAGACGGTTGAGAGATCGGGCAAAGGACCCGCGTCAGAGCGGAGATGGATAGGTCGCAGACGGGCGCTCCCTGCGGAAGGACCACCACATGGAGCAGGAAGCGCTCTCTTTCGCGCGGGTCGGGGCGTGGGCGGGGCGCGGGCGAGGCTCGCCCGGGGGCGATCGGGGCGGGCGGGCGCTCGCGTTACGAGCGGACGCGCGTCGCCATTTGGCCGCCGCCGCCGCCTCCGGGAGGCGCGGCTGCCAAATTGCGCTCGCAATTGCGTATCGCTCGGCGGGCGCGACGGCGGCGGGCCGAGGGCGGGGCCGGCGGAGGTGTTGGACGTGGCGACGGCGGTGGGCGGCGGCCCGCGTTACTGGGGACGACGCTAAGTGGGAAATGGGGAGCGGATGGAGGGAGTGATTAGCGGGATCAGCGACGTAAGAGCGATGGTGCTAGTGTGCAGGATGATAGGGGGTGGGAAGGTCTCGGATCGATAATACAGAGCAAATGCTATAGGAAGTGATTTTTAGGAGTTCAGTTGGTTGGTAGTGGCACCGGCGGTTACAGTGAGTGAGAATGATGACGAGGTGGTGGGAATGCCTATATTAATAGAGGTAGCGATGTTGAAGGTAATTGAAGAGTTCATTCCAAAAGTTAGTTACCGTCATTACCGTTTGTTTCATAGTTTAATGTATCTGATATAATCATATCATAAGATGATTAAGACGCTTCACCAATAATCTTGAACTCTGTCTTGGGGATATGTCAATTGCTAATTTTAATCAAGGCGCTGAAAATGGCTGCAGTGTAAGTGTGTGGTATTGATGTTTACAACGCAGTGAAGACGATAGGGAGGGTCGTTGGGTGTGGTGGTAAATTGGTAATGGCGAAGACGGCAACGGGATGTGACAGTGGCAGAGAAAGTTATGCTGATAATGTAAGAGATCAAGAATGTGTTAATATGGTTTCAGATTTTGAACCGACCTTTTAACAGTTATAGGGAAGATGGCCGTCATGAAGCTCGCATAGCTCGCTCTCTATTGCAAGAACCGCATTTTAGGTCTCGATTATTGCTTTGCGAATTCGTGGTTCAAAATGCCTCTTTCCGATATTTTCTACAACCTTTTGTACTTTCACTGCCAGTTCCCTAGTATTAATAAGCATTGATGATTTATTCACACAACTTTTGTTCGGGAAGCCTTAGGGAAGAATTAATTTGATGCCATATATTCTTTGGTTCATGTTTGTTGATTATACTTATGTTTATGCTTATGTTTGTGTGGTTGCGCTCATGAATTTCGCTCTGCGATTGGTCCAGCAATGTTGGCAAAGTCGAAAATAGCCCGCCAGTTGTCTGAAAGAAACCAATGCGATGACGGTAGGTGCGGTGACAAGTAGAGGTCTCGGCAGAATCTGTAATGTAAGAAATGGCTAGCATTACATGGCCTTACGGATTTTTTCGTGAAATGGATGAATGATTTGAAGAGTAAGAGGGAACTGAATAGAATAGGAAACGGAAGAATCACAAGAAATCGTCCTGCGAACTCACATTATCTGGAGGAAAATTTTCGGCAACAGCTTCATGACTAAGTGGAATTCAGCCTTTGTCGGAGCAGAATTCTAGAGGTCACCTGCTCTTTTTAGAAGTTTCCTTTGGTTTCTACGATCAAAATCAGTAAAATACAGTAGATGTACCTTAACAAATAAGTCAATGACCACACGCAACTTTCCTTCTTCATTCTTTCCTCCTCCTACCCACTATATTATTGATTATTTCCCGTTTGCAGGCGCGTGAACTGCTATCGTAATAACGTAAGTGCAGTTTGTGTTTTCGTCACAGGAGATAGCGGTATCTTTTCCTTGCTCGATAGAGAGATCCGGTGTCGTCATCCAGGTATCTCGCACCAGCGTGGCAGCGCCCCAACCAAGAAAAGCTCTAAGCTCCCGACTGTTCTTTCAAATTGTATGGTAGTGTAGTGCGAGCGAGTGTAAGTAAGGGGTGAGGATAGGTTAATGAAAAGATGGGAAATATCGCGCACGGTCCGTAGTCCGTTTGTTAGGGTGCTGCTCTGACAATTCGTTTGGTGTTGATTGGAGAAACCCGGAAAAACTATCGACCAAAGAAGCCGGTCGCTAGAATTATTTTCCAGACAGCCACTGAATTCAACTTAGCTAACAAATCCTGTCATCGTGGAGAATCGAATCCTAGAACTTCTTGGTTAGAGGCACTGGAGTGACATCAGTTAATGAACTGAGCCACCTCTGTCTCCCCCCCCCCTGCACATACACATTTTCATGCCCTACTGCACATGCCGGGAGAACAGTTGGGAGCTTAGAGCTTGTCGAGGTCGGGGCTGTGCCCCGCTGGCAAAGTTGAAAGTTACCTGGAGTTACGTGTGACCTGAACCCGCGAGCCACCGTTTGACTGCTTTACATCTCACATTACAGTGGAGAAGGAACACCACTGCCTCCCGGGCAATTACAAGGAGAACACTTACAGATTGAATGAACACGACAGTTGACCCGCCAGAAAACATAAAATATTATATCAATCCATAACTTTCTCCCTGACCAATTCCACGCAGATGAACCGAAATTCGATAATCACTACCCAAAAGTAGAAAGCTAGTACCAAGATCTCTTTACAGTTACGTTGCCAGATATTTGCCAGATTCCCGTCCGGTCGCCCGGGTTAAGAAAATTCGGGTGTGCATGGTTTTTACATGGGTGACAGACATGGGTGACCTCGGATGCTAACGGCAGCGGTGAGTCACTGGCAAAGCAAAAGTAAATGAATCTGAAATGGAATTAAAAACTTTAAAAAAGTCTCGCGATCTATTACCAGCTCGTATGCCTGTTGTATATTACTCTTTTAAAAAAATGTGTACATCTCAGTTCCCTAACTACATACTGCTGCAAGCAGACACTTGCCATGCGGCAGACTATAATGAAAGAACAATGTTCTAACCTGCGCTTCCAGCCCAGGTATATTTCATCATTATTTTAGAGTTATAGAGAATAATATATTTATTTGCAGACAATTAAATTTAACTTACATTTTTTCCATTTACATTTAATTCACTTTTATCTCTTACTATATTTTCAGAGTAACTAGTGTTTTAAAGATGCATCTTACAATGGAATTCATTATTCAGATAAAACAGGAATACAAAATAATAATGATATGATGCTACAATAAAGATATTGACGCAGGCACTCAGGTGGTTCATAAATAGCGTGGAAGCGTGGAAGCTTTCTGTGAGATGGTTCTGGCTTTGATTCTCGGGGGAAAATGAAGCCGTAGATTGCTAAAACAAATCGTGACGGTTTCTATGGCTATGTGTGAAAAATAAAGTCCGGTAGGCCAATTCTAGGTATGATGGGAATATGTCGTTTTGCCACACGTCGCCCTTGTTGCCAGGGGCGGATAATAAATAAAAAAAACAGGCCCAGGGCTGGAACGCCACTAGCTGGAAAAGCCTGATTAATCCGCCCCCAAAAGCCAAATACATGCATATATACATTGATTTATACAGGTACGATGCAGTATTTCTCGGGTTGGTGGGTGTGGTAGAGTTAAGTGGTTCCTCTGCCTGCGGAGTTAGCTTCCGCCTTCGCAGACGACCGGTTGTGACCGGAAACTTTAAATCGGAGGTATTGGGCAATTTTTTCTTCGGAAACTTCATACATTTAACATCTGTGCTGCAAAGAAGTTCATCGGCTACTAATATTCACAGATATTTTTATTGCAAATACTTGTTATGAAATACATTAATACCTTTTCTGTCTGAAATATGCCAAATATACGAACGTTTCACTCATTCTAGTTTTACTGACTTTTTTGGAAACTCATTCTAAAAAGCGACATAAATACACCATTTAGAAACGGTACATTGCACCGGCAACCAGTGAAAGACTACTGCCACCATTTATTGCCTGGCAATAAATTGTCTTAACAATTTAATTTTTCTTTATCAGATCCGAGTGATGTATCGGCGATTGAAATGAATGTCTGCATTAAAATATGTGGCTGAAAATTAGCAACTAAAACTTCAAAGACTGGTAGGTTCTAGGTTCGAAACTCGACAATGAAAGATCGCCAAATTTCAGCGTACATCGATAACGTCTACTGCCTAATTTAGGGAGGTCGATTATTCTGATGTTATTTTCATGACTTCTTCCGATCATTTCCAGGTGCAAGCTGGATCAGTAGCTTGAAAAACAGGCCACTGACCAAGCGCCCGTCTTATGATCTATGGACTGATCGACCATTTTCATCCGACCTATTCCCACTGATCTCGAAAATACTCCGTCAGAACTGTGATCCCACCTCAAATCCAGTGAAGAAGTAAAGCGTCTAAGAAGGAAGTTGTAAATGTACAACGTTCTCTTCTTGTCCTCTTACCTTCACCTTGTTTTTAGCGTATAGGCCAACTCGAACCATGCGTGCATCCTCCTTCAGCAGGTGCAAGTACCATTATCAGGGGGAGAACAGTATTTTCGGTGAATCCGGATTTTTATCCCCCAAGGTTGCCCTGCGGGGTATGGACGATGAGATGATGATGATGATGATGATGATGATGATGATGATGAGAATGAAGGATGAAAGGGCGACCCACACATATACACATACACAAATACACCCATGCCAGAGGCGGGACTCGCACCCGTGGTCTTCTGGTCCGAGATCACTACGGCACTACTGCCCTAACGATCTCGGCCATCTTGACCGGCACCTTCACCTTTGTTGTGAGCATTTTGAATTCTTTCTAAGACTAAGTGAAACACCCTAACGAAAAGACTGAACCATGCGGAAGTCGACTCCGGTCGATTTGGGACTGCCAGAACGCTGATTGTGACGTCCAGAACGATTACATGTAGAACGTTAATGCCCACCTTTCATTCGTAATTTCTTCCCCGGTTTCGCTTGAACCTGTGCAATGCATTTGCAAAGTGGACGTGTCTGGGTCATCGGTATCCGAAGCCACACCCTCACCTCGCGCTACCAGTTCTGGCATAATTTTCTTTTTGGCTACTAGGAATTTCACTAGTTACTTAGCACGACGTACTAGGTTATACAAACGAGTGATCCTTATTATGTTGTATGAAATAATTTAGTAAGTACAATATTTTCAGTTTCATTTCGTTCTTTTTTTCACTATAAATCTGCATATGTTTTCATTATTTGCAGACATGATTTCTAACAGATTCATTAAAATATACTTATTTTCTGTTAATCTTTATTATTAATACTCTTTACATTTCAGAGGTAAAATTCACTATCTCTGCGATCTTCATCCATAATAGATCCGTCGATCTTCAGAATATTATGTTCTTCAAGGTCTCAAAGTTACCTCGAGACAATTCAAAAACAGCGTGTATAACCTAGTGTGAGAAACAAAAATATTATATATTTTTTTTAAACATTACGCCATCCTTTAAAAACATACCCACCAGTAGAGTTTGAGAGATTGTAGACGAATTTCTAATTCAGGCCCCCTGAAGCAATACTGTCGTTACCCTCAACTCATCTTAATAATGGACGATTTTGTGTTTTACTGGATAGTGATCTAATACGTATGGATGTAAATCTAGAACTCTCTCCGATTATACTTAACCGATTATAATTCTCTACGTTTAGTATTTTAATTATTATAATATGCTTCTTGTCAATTTAATTTAATTTTTTTTGCAAAAATCGCATTATCACACTTAGAAAGCATTACAATTTCTTTCTAAAATCAACAAAGTACGTTGCGTTTCAAAGAAGTTGATTTTTTTATTCAATATTAAAAGTTTGAATATTTTCATCATATCTCAGAAAATTTACGCAGCAAATATAATTATAAGTTGCAAATCTTATTTTTTCAATGAATTGGGTAACATGATATTTGATCTACTTTTGTGATAAGCTAGTGTGAAAACCTCTTCTTTGTCCAAGTTGTATACAAGCCAATGTATGGAAATTATTAAATTTTTCTCCTACAACCCTTCATTTGCCAGGGCGTTGCATATTTTTGCTATGTAATAATACTTATCTTGAACATTTGGCAGTAAGTCTGTCTCTGAAATTGAGCGATCTCGACGCCTCAGGCCAAAGGGTTGTGTTGAGCCATCACTCGTAAAGAGATCATACATACGAACTCCATTACTTAATATACGTTTCATCTGCGTATCACGATAACAAGAGCTGAAATATGTTGATTTGGTCGTATTATAGAAAGTGGTCGTAGCAGTTCAGTTTCGAATTATGCTATCTCACTCGCGTTAGGCGCAGTCCGCTTAGAAAACGCTACTGGTTTGCGTTCGGTCAGCTCTAGGGTCATTCACTGGCGCTACGTCTGCCGAAAGGAAATTTAGAGCTTAATGTATCATCATCATGAAGCGTTTTACCAGTAATTCCTGACTCGTTACTTACGCATTATCTTTGACACAGACTCATAAATTTCCAGCTTCATTTCGTATTTATATGCTCCGTAATGGCGACCATACAAAACTGCGGGTGTCAGGCCCCTGAATTTACTGGGTGATTACGCCAAGTGATTGGAAAATGCAAATTCGTTCACTCTTTTTGGTCTCAGGGTCATTTAAATTGGTGTGCGCGTTGCACGTTGAGTAGTCGACCTCTTAGTTTCGCTATCATCCGATAGATCATGCAACGAGCACTAAAGCTGTGCACATTTCTGTTTTTAACCCCCCTCTTTTCTTATCTTTGAGCTTATTTTCCGTTTCTACATTTATTTCGACACAAAATGTTGTTCGACGTACTGGCGCTAAGGCGTACACAGCACATGGAATGCTAATGCACAATTATCCTGTTATATCCTAGATATGTTTCTCCTCCACAAATAAAAAACAAATGCGTAACCAATTTACCGCTTACGTATTCGAAATACTGCAAATTTGGAAGGTTTATGAACTCTGATATCTCTCAATTATTCAAACGTTTTGTGGCATTGTTGCCTCTACGCCACAAATTAACGAAAAGTTCAGTTTATCATAATTTTCAACATGGAAGGTGTATTCTTCACATAAAGACGAAAACGCAGTGAAAGTGAAGATAAAAAGGAATGTGTGATATAAGAGAGTGAAGTAAGATTTTATTTCCAAGGGTAAGTTGAAGCCACTCGGCAGAAATCATTTTTCTCGAGGGAAGTTTTTTAGCCGAGAATAAAAGCATTTAATACCGGAGTTCCGTGAATAATTTTGCCCGTTATTACTAACTAAAGAATAGTAGTCATGAATAGTTTAGTTAAAATAAATATCTATAAAATTGATTTAAGCTCATGTGGAGGAAGTATTTCATATTTTTCGTGACTGAATTGTTAATAAAACTTTAAAAAACTGACATTTAGGTGTGTGCGTAAATTATGTTATAAAAGACATTAAATTTAGAGTAGTGTATAATTTCAACTATTTTATAACTGGATAATAAATTCGTTTTAATGATTTCATTATCTGCAAAATCTTTAAGTTCAAAAGGGAGAAGAAAATTTAATCTTTCAATATGAAATCATTTTAATTTTTTTAGATGTACTTCCCGTCTTGCTAACCATCTTCGATCGGTATACGTCCGTGATATTTCAGGTTAAAAAATAGAACATTCCTTAATCAAGAAGGAGCGTCCGATGAATAGTAATTGAATAAACGACTAGACTAGTTCCAGAAAGTAGAGGAATAAAACAACAAACTCCAATTAGCGTGCGCATGTTACAACTAGATAGACTCTGACCTTTACAATATAAACTAAGTGAAACTGAAATAATGTTTTAGTATTGCATGAATTAAACAGTTATTTCGACCGTCCAAGGAGATTGCATATCAACAGAACCTGTCTCGTTTCTGCAGAAAATTAAATCTGCTGTATCTCGTAACGGGGGTGGCCTCACCGTTAGAGGAAGAACTGTTAGACCATAAACAAATATAGGATCATTCTACAAGCCGGGCTTCGAATAATAAAAGTGTAAGGCGGTAGGCCGCGAGCGTCGGTAGTGGATTAACGAGGCCAATATCTCCGTCAGTCGCGGAACAAGCAGGTCGATTGAAGGAGACAGGCGAAGAAGGGGTACATGCAGAAGGTGTCAAGCGTAAAAGCAGTCCGTGTTTTGGGAGGGGGGCGGACCTGGATCCTGGCGAAGTCCTTAGTTCGATACTCGGAACACGGAGTTCTTGAATGGCTCTTTCCAAAACATGGAACTTCCATTTGCTGGCGTTTAGGTAACGAAAGAGAACAGACAATTTGACGGATGAGTGCTTGATGGTCCCCAATGAAGCCTTATTTTACGCTGCAGCGAACAATAGAAGTCAAGGAACTGACTATTAAATTGACGCTCTTGAAATTAGAAAGACGACGAGACAGTAACAAAATGGTTCAAGAGGGCAATGAGAATTAACATTCGCGTCCGTAATGTTCCATCGCAAAAATGTTTTGTAGCGGGAAGAAAAAGTGAATAGAACTTCCTTTTGCTTCCACAATCACGAACTTTCTTTTAATGTTGTTCGTCAATAGAATGTACATATCTGATAGCAGAAAGTGAACGCACTGAATATTATCAAGCAGACGTAAAATTTGCTCTTACATACACCGAAGTCCATGGTTTGTACAAATTCTTTTGATTATTTGCAAAAGAGTAGAAGAGAAATATTCATTGAATAAAATGAATTACCTAGTTAGTCTTTCTTCAAACCATGAACACGTAGAGAGACCTAGAAAAAATAATTTATTGCGTCACACGGAAATCACAAATCCATATTTAATTGTATTGTAATTGTATTGGAACATTTATATTGCTAATGTCTATACTGCTACTTTTTAGTTCACTAAAATTTATATGGATAATATTAATATCTCTTTACAGTTTCGGAAAGTACAAATTTGAGAATACAAAGGACTCAAATTTATACAATTTCCATAGTGGTTTCAATTCATCCCAATGTAAGTAATCTCCTATTTATTGTATTCACATAAAAAAATCTTTTCCATATTTGGCATTGTTTAATACATTAAATGACAATTTAATACAATCTTACTTACCGAACGTGTTTAAGCGGCCTCTTAATCGGGTTTTTAGTCGTTTTCCTTTATCTAAATGCAAATTCTGCGATGTTGTGTTGGTTTTCTCCTGAATAGTAAAGCTACCCCACAAACGTAACGTACACCTAAATGCTTTAGCGTAAGGAAAGCTATAAATAAAAGAGAACTCATCACTTCTGTCAGTCTGCAAATAAACTATGAGTACAAGAAATGTAAACAATTTGGAAATTATTGTATTCATTGTTTAATAATAATGACTTGACCAAAATTCATTCTAATGTTATGATCGTATTCGATGTTTTTAAAGAAAATGTTTGATCTACAGATTCCAGATATCAAGTATTCAAGTTACACAGTAGATTCCGTAGAAATATTCGAAGTGATACTAAATTACTTTTTAATTCAAATAAGAGTTTTTAAAATCCTCATTAATTCTTCAGTAATACTACACATCTACAATTGGTATTTTGTTTGAGACATTCACGAATAAATTCATTAAAACTGAAATAAAACTATTAAACAATGATTAAAACAGGAAATATTTTGTGCGATTTAGATATCAGTAAATGTTGAAACGATTTACCCTTTCGAACGATTTCACGTAAGATGATAGAATATTACATTATTTCTGTGTTTTGTTTACATTATTATTATTATTATTATTATTATTATTATTATTATTATAGTTATTAAATTATTATTATTAATTTAACTATTTGGCGTTTGGAAGAAACTATTTTAACTATATATTAAATTACTATTAAAATTAAAGGAAGTGTATTTCTTAGTATTTAGAAGTGCATCTATGCAGAGGAATTCGCATTTTACAATTGCTGAATGATGTTTGTTTCAGTTGCAAGCAAAGTTTCAATTTTGTTGTGAAATGTCCGGTTAAGGAGCATCTGTTATTTGATAGCAGCTTGTAGCAGGTGAGTCACTGTTATAGATCGAGAAAGATCACCAAACTGCTTCATGTCGATATAATGCGTTTTCTGTTTGTTTTCAAAAAGTATTATGAGTAATGCGATCTTAGTAGAATTTTACTTTTGAAGAGAAAAAATTCAAGTTGCTGAATTACTTGGAGAAGACAATTCAATTATTTGTGGCTGATTGCCAGCTCTCATAGGATTAATAGAACTTTGAATTAATATTTTCTTTCCAATGATATGCAAAGAAACTATTTTTACGAAACTGTCAAGCGGGAATAATCCGGTTCTTTTCCTCTTTCTTAGCAATAATATCTTAATATCAATAGACCTTTCTTAAAATTGCGAAGAAAATATCATTCGAATTTTTAGTATTTTGAGTTGTTAGGAGATGACTTTTGAGTTCAAATGAAAAATTATACATCACACAAAATAGAAAATGCATTTTTCGTAATTAATTTGTCACTGAAGTTGGGTTATTTTCCATTATTAGTAATTGTTCATGATTGGCTTTATTTGTTCTTTTAAGAATGATACACTTTCACTTTTGATTATCCATGAATTTAACCTTCCCTGCAACAAAATTTAGAAGATGTGTTGTGTATTTTATTACCTGATTTGCTAAGTATGATTATTGATAATTCGCATGAAAGGGGAGATAAGGTCAAGAACGAGGCAGTGAAGATCGCGTCCCGTTCATTACGGCTCCCGCATTCGCCTGATATTGATCGGAGAAAGACTTAAAATTCCCGGTCAAAGCACGCGGTCAATGATTTTCTTCCCGTCAGCGACGCATGCGACCTTGCTAGGATGCTAGTGTCTATAATTCGCCAACGTCCAGACTTGAACCCCAGGACCTTCCCTACCAAGTCGCTGCACTGAAAATAGTTCTTAGTTGTTGCCCTGAGACATCTCAGCAGTGAAGCATTATGAGGGAATGATATAAATTGTGTGCCGAATTGTTAATTAGAGCTGGAAGAAATAGTTCGTATAACTCGTGATGTTTAGCGAGTTTTCTGAACTCGCGCGTTTGGGCAGCGGCGGCGCGACGCAGGTCAGTGACTCGAAAGGTCTCGCTGGCCGCGTCGCCGCCGCCCCCTCCGCCCAGCGCCACGCCCACGCGGGAGGGGGCGACGCATGCGTCTGTCAAGTGTCCGGCGGTCACCGCCTCCGCGGAGAGGAACACGTCAAGAGGCGATATCGCCCTGCGTCCGCGTCGGCCCACGCAGGCCGCTTCTGTCTCCCCGCCAGCCCCCTCTCTTCCGCACACCGGCTGGCAAATCGTCTCGATTTCCTCTTTCAATCAGCGAGATCACACCTAACATCACTCACGCTGCCCAGTTTGCTTCGCTTTCCTTAATCATTTCTCCACCCGTAATTCTTCTTTCGCCCAAAATCAACCTTTTGATCAAAATTGCTCCTCCACCAGAAAATGCCTCTCCGCCTGAAATCGCCTCTGTGCCCGAAATCGCCCCCTATGTCCGAAAAAACCCTCCTGAAATTGTCTCTCTGCCCGAAATTGTCCCTCTGCCCGAAATTGTCCCTCTGCCCGAAATTGTCCCTCTGCCCGAAATTGTCCTTCTGCCCGGAAATTGTCCCTCTGCCCGAAATTGGTCCCTCTGCCCGAAATTGTCCTCTGCCCGAAATGTCCCTCTGCCCGAAATTGTCCCTCTGCCGGAATTGTCCCTCTGCCCGAAATTTGTCCCTCTGCCCGAAATTGTCCCTCTGCCCGGAATTGTCCTCTGCATGCCCGAAATTGTCCCTCTGCCCGAAATTGTCCCTCTTGCCCCGGAATTGTCCCTCTGCCGGAATTGTGCCCTCTGCCCGGAATTGGCCTCTGCCGGAATTGTGCCTCTGCCCGGAATTCCCCCCTCCCTGCCCAACCCCCCTGCCCAAATTGCCAATCTTTCCGAAATCGCTTCACCGCCGAAGTTACTTCACCGAAAGACGCCCTCTCTCCCGGGATCATCCCCCTCCCTCCGGCAGAATCGCCTCACGCGCCTAAGCGAAGACCACGCGCAGGCCGGGAGCCACCGTCGCCGTGATGTCCGCCGGCACCGCTCCTAACGACTATTCCTGACACTTGTCATCCCTCCTCCCACTCGGACCTCATTCGCCAAATCGCATCACTTCTGCTTTGGACCGCGAAAGCGCGCTGGTCACCGTCGCCCTATCCTTGTCCACCGGCCGTCGTTCGGGAGCTTTTAAGAACTTCCCGTAATAGGATACCGGCCCTCTGCTCCACAATCGGAGCGGCATGCGATGTCGCCGCTGTGCTGAATACCAGCCCGATCGGTGGAGAAAATAAAGAAATGCAGCGAGAGCTGCCAGAAACTCCTGCGGCGGTGTCGAACCGCAACGCACAGCCTGCAGCAGCAGCTCGGTTGTTATCCCGCGGTTTATGGGCCCGGTTTGAATGCGAGGGGCCGTCCCCGCTGGTTTTTCAGCAACCCGGACCCCCCTTTCCATGCTCCCCCTATCCTCTCCCGCCCCTGCCGTGGCCCATCCCCCAATCACCGATTACTGAACACGGAGCCACCTATTAGAATTACAGTCACTGTGCCACTGTAATTCAGAGGGGGGACGCGCTTTAATATCATCGAAGCACTTGTCGCGTAGAACAAGCAGACGGCCGGCCATCGGATTTTGAGGTCCGCTCTCGAGATTCGAATCTGGGGCTCAGGTTCTGTGATCAGTTGGAGATTTTCCATTGCTGTGTTTGTGTTGTGAGAGATCGTGCATGACGAAAGTATTCCAATTCGGAAGCTGAACTACTAATTTGTAAATAATAATAATAATAATAATAATAATAATAATAATGTTAATATTAATTAATGTTTAACATGTTCAGTTTTTTTAAAGCGATAGTAATAATTAATTTCAGAAAATATAAACATACTTTGAATTTAGTATTAATTTTATTAAGTGAATTTAATGTAACTGAAATTGTTTTATTTCGTTCGTGTAAACTCTATTTTTCCTGACCTGTGAACTGCTCCTGTTCTAATTTTGTCAGATATAAAACTTTTTAAACTGCCTTGAGCAATGTCAGAATCAATCTGATGTTCTTAAAACTCCATTGCTTTTATTAGTCAATACATGTGTATTCTCTTCTGGTTTCCTAACAAGGCATATTTCTTCGTGGTACTATATTTTGTGATTGCGCGAGCAAATTAATTTCCTATTATTACTCAAATTATTTTCAATTTTGAGTATCACAAAACCCTGAATTTCATTGCTCAGTAATACTTGCGACAAAATATTAATATCTCTGATTTTTGTCAAGATATTCTGAGATGAAAATAGGTTTCCGCAATCAAACACACGAGTCGTCGATAGCAGACCTACTAGATTATTGATACAAGACAGGAAGTTACTTTTTTAATATTTTTTCTCAATAATAGTGAACATGCATAACTATAATATTGTACTTAATGTTTATTCAATATACCGATGAAAATCATTAATATATCAAAAATAAAATAACGTTCCTTTTAAGATAAGATGATGTAATCAATAAATAAAACTGCTATACTCTTCCAGTAATTAAAGCAAAGAGCGAGTTATGTAAATGTGACAATGTTTGTTAACCCAGTATTTAAATAACCAAAATTAAATTTTGTTGACTTGAAAATTGTTTTAGCTAGCAGTTAAGTAATTGCATATACTGAGAATTAGTAAATTTAATTTGAAAACAACAGATGTAAAACAGGAAAGGGCGTGACCAGTAGCCTGGGAAAACCAACCCTGGTCTGTCCAGCCTAAATTCAGGACGACAACCACTCGCCCAACTTGTTCGGTTACTGGACAAACATCCTGAAATGATATTTCCATACAGACAGCGCAGTTTCTCGGGTTAAATTTAAAGTCGAATGTAAAGGGGAATGAACTACTTCAAAAATTTTTGCAGTATGGTAACTTTAATTCGATTTATTACGAGGAAAATGTACTTCGCTGAAAAACGATTACCTTGAA